TGCAGCTGACCATGCAAAGCGGCTTTCGATGATCCAAAAAGCGAACTCTGCATCTGCAAGAATATGTTAGGATGATGAAGAAGAAGAAGCCAGTTTGCATATCAGCACAACAATAGCAACGAGGGGATATCAAAGCAAGAGGAAATGCCATTAATCCACTGTAGCCCACTGTCGTGACTCCAAAACAAAGAGCAAAACGATCAAAGTTCTGTNCCTCCCTCCCTCTCCAGTCACTAAATGAAAGGTTGTAAGTTGAGGACTACCTGTATGTCATCTTAAACCTGAAACTAAAGTAGATTTAGAATGCAGGCTTCGGTTATTGAAAATCTTAAAAGTTAAGCTTGGCATTAAGGTTTGAATGTCAGAGCAAATTTAAATAAAGGGCAGTGCATTTGCCAGGGTAAAATGACAGAACCTGGACTGTTGTTACGTGGGATTTTTAGCCATGAGAATTGTGGGAATGGATTTTGTTGCTCAGATTGAACATTAGAAATCTGAGTGGCAGCTTCCCAGTTCTTTTCAGGTAATCAGTAGAGATTTCTCTAGAATTTCTGCAGAATTTTCTTATCATTTGACAAGTTCATAGTTCAAAGTCTTTTTGGCTTTGGAGTCCCATAGCAACCGGAATCTTTATTGCATTGGAACAACAACACCCATGCAAAGAACCTCTCAGGCAATCAGTAAAAGTCAATTTAAGAAACTGGCTGGCTGTCAATGAATTTGTATAAAACTGTTAATTATCAAAGCATTTATTTATTTGTAATGATGATGAGAACATGACAGGAGATTCATGAGACAGAGACAGAACCCACACAATTATATATAAAACTTCTCACAAGGGTATGATAGTCATAACTGGACATCCAATTCAGCTCCCCAGGCGATCTGCCCTTGATTTGTATAGCTCTTCCAGGGAACCACAGGACGAATGATGTGAGCAATCTTGCACAATATATTTAATTGTTTGCATATCAGCACAACAATAGCAACGAGGGGACATCAAGGCAAGAGGAAATGCCATTAATCTTGAAATCTGATCAAGCTTTCAAAATAGGATTAGCTTTCCCTCTAAAGGTCAGAGCCACGTGCTCCTTTTCATTGTGTAGGTGAAACCTGGCTGAATAGGAGTAGCTGCATGAGGGATCTCAAAGTCCTAGTAAACAATCACTTAAATATGAGCCAACAGTGTGATGCAGCAGTCAAAGAAGCCAATGCAACTCTAAGCTACATTAACAGAGGGATAGAATCAAAATGACGTGACATGTTAGTACCATTTGATAAGGCCCTGGTAAGGCCACACTTGGAATCCTGCATCCAGTTTTGGTCGCCGCAATATAAAAAAAGATGTAGATCCTCTGGAAAGAGTGCAGAGAAAAGCAACTAAAACGATTAGGGGGCTGGAGGCTAAAAGGGGTGGAGGATGGTAGCTGAACCACATAAAGAATGGTTGCAGGAATTGGGTATGTCTAGTCTAGTGAAAAGAAGAAGTAAGGGTGACATGATAGCACGGTCCCAGTGGCTCCCGCAAAAGAAGAAGAGGTCAAATTATTTTCCAAAATGCCAGAAGGCAAGACAAGAAGCAATGGTTGGAAACTAATCCAGGAGAAAATCAACCTAGAACTAAGCAGACATTCCCTGATAGTGAGAACAATCAACCTATGGAATGGCTTGCCTTCAGGGTTTGTGGGTGCCCCATCACTGGAGGTTCTTAAGAAGTGTCTGG